TCGGCACGGTGCTGGCCAGGAGGGTCCCCCCGCTCCGTCCCCAGAGCCGCCCGCTCGCGGGGGTGGCCGGGCCGGGACCCGGTGGACAGCGGAGCCGCGGCATCGCTGGGTGTTAACGCTGCTGACGCTTTCTGGGGGATGTTGCCTCTTTTTTCCTTTTTTATTTTTTATTCTTTTAGTTTTTTTTCCTTAGCGCCTCGTTAGACGCCTCTCTGCAGCTTTGCTTTATTGCTTCTGCCGGTTTGCCGCTTCTCCGGGGCTTGGGTAGTGCAGTTCAAAGGGAGAAGGTGGGGCAGTTGCAGAGCACTGTCCAGAGTCTCTGGAAAACGTCTGTTGATGAACTAAGAGGGCATCCAGTTCTCTCAGGATGGGATTTCTTTCTCTGCTTTTTGGGACGATGGGTAAAAAGCTCAGAATTTCACTTTCTGAACTTGTCTAAACCAGCTTTTTCCTGCCTCCACACAGTCGTGTTTAATTAAATGTGCCTAATTTAAGCACAAGGGCTGCTAAACAATAGTCTGTAACATGTGTAGCACAAACCCCTATTTCCTCTCTCCAAAAGACAGCAAAGCAGGCAACTTTGGGAGTTTTCTTTCTGCTGGGTGCTTATGAATTTTTTTTTGTCTGAATATGTGAAGCTGAGTTCTCAGCTGGTGTCAATTGCCGCTGTTCTGCTGAAGTGTAGTTTTGCTGAATTGGAGTGGAGCAGTGGAGAACTGGGCTGTGGCCCAAGAGCTTTCCTTTCAAAATGTACCCCCAAAAAACCACTGTTGAGAGAACATCAAGTTTGTCCGGTGAAGCACTTCAAACACAGATAATACTTCCCTTTCAAGGAGGCACGCAATCTTAACTATTCCTGTTCCCTAGTGCTGTATTTGGAAAGGATTTTTTTTTTGACTGGATAATAATTTCCCATTAAGAAATGACACAATACTGTGAGATTCTTGCTTTGTGGCAGCTTCCCTGTTTCTTCATACAAGGTGCTTCACCTCCTTCCTCTATCCCAGTAAGTCTATTTCAACAACATGTATGTGGCAAAAGTCTTGTTCTCTCTTGCTTTGTGCTTGCAAACTTGCTTAGTTGAGGGCAATGGGAATGGTCGTAGCAGAGGAGCCTCAGCATTGGTACTTGTGCATGTGGTCTCTGTGTTAGAGAGTATTTACAGTGCTCAGGTCGCTTCATTAACACCATGGATTTGGAGCACCGGAGTGCTAGAAGATCATCAAGTCTGGATTAGGATTGAGCCCACAGTTCAAATTCCTTGGAATTGACCAGAAAACACATTAGGTTATTCCTCCTGACTCGAATGCTAGCTGGTGGGAATAAAGGACACCTGATCTGGCTGGAAGGCTGCTAATCTGAAGGTGACCTGTCACTGTTTTAGGAACAAACTTCAGTTTTAGTGAGTATCTGCCACTGTGACTGTGGTGTTTTTGATCTTGGACTAAAAGCTCTAAAACCAGTTTTATGGTAGCAATGGCCTCGGGTGTTTCAGGGAAGGTCAGTTGAATAAAACCCTTGTTTTTTGTAGGGACCTCTGATTCTAGCCAATTCCCTCTCCATGGGAATGTAAGACATGCATTTCTAGAGGGGAATTCTTCTGCTGAGCTATGCCTTTCTGAAGGCTCTCCATACCCACTTGTAGTGATTTTGCAGAGGAAGCTGAAATAGTACAGTCCTTAAGTAGCTGTAGGAAAAGTTTGTATCAATTATACTTTGCTGAGATCAAAGGCTTTGTGCATATCTGAGACAGCTGTGTAAATTCTGCAATACCTCAGTGCTATTTGTAGTTATAATGAGACAATACTACAGAAAAATCCCCATAATTTTTCATTCATTTTTATGGCAACCCTGTGTGTATTTCATTTGCTCTTCTGCCAGATGGCTGAACTGTCTCAAGTAACTTTCACCTTTCCCAGGTAAGTGGACTTAACCTTTGGTTAAGACCAGAACTGTAAAGCTTTAGCATAAAGGTGAAGCCTGGGAGAGTTTTAAGGGTTTCTGTGTTTTTTAAAGGATGGGAGCTGTTGTAAAAGCCTGCCTTTTCCAAAACTTGATTTGCAACTCTTGAGTGAAGAGAGTTGAACAAATATTGGGCTGTATATCTATACCTTAGAAAATTTTTTAGCCTTTATCTCTTGTTCACAACCTTTTAAGTTCCAAACACTTTTAATAAGGTTGAAGTATTTTAGAAGAACTTCATCCAAAGCCATGGATACCACTGGCCATTAGTTCAAATGCTGTAGGAATAAAAATGTGATTAACTTGTGTGGCTTCATCAGTGCTTTAGTATGGTGAAGCTTTCCAGAAACCAAATCATGGATTCCTCCATGCTTACAGTCTTCAGCGATCAGACAGCTGTTCTAGCAAGTGTGGGGGTGTTAAAAGCCTGATGTGGAATACGATATTTGAATTCCAGCTTCCTCTTGCCTCAATTTCTCGACTGCTTCAGCAGAATAGGTGTACAAATTCCTCACCCTTAACTGTTAAACCTGGGCCAGATTTTGTGTGCTGTTTTTTTGCAGAACTGCAGAAGCTTTCAGACTTTAGAGTTTTTGATTTATTCCCATCTGTAAAGCAACATGCATTCCAATAGCATTGTGCAGATGCGTGCGTTAAGAGCAAATGTTGGCATCCGGGGTGAGTGAGATGACTCTGTGGAGCAGTATCAGATCCTGCGTGTGTGTGGAGCAATGCTATCTGTTTCAGAAATCTACTGCAGGAATTTCTGTCACTTCATTACTGTAGTAAATCATCATCACTAAAGAAAAAAAAAAATCCTCTGTATGGCTGCAGTTAGGCAAGAGCTGCGATTATGTCAGTAATGCCAGTGAGCAAATGGGGCTGGATGTCTTCGAGTTGGGGATAATATGGAGAGGGTGGGGTTGAGAGAGAGAATGGAAACAGAAATGGGTGTTTCTTTTCTCCTGTCTGTATCTCAAATGGTGCAGACTTATTTGACTTTATTTTGCCATAAATAGGAGTACCTGTGTTTGAACCAGGTACTTCAGCAGTTTGCTATAAACTGCTGCACTGTTTCAGTGATGACCTGGGTAGCCTTGAAGGTTGTGGGTGCTATGAATGAATGGTGGATCATTAACTGGACAGGCAAGTAAAAAAATCTTAATGTTCTTTCCATAGGGAGCATGCCTGTACACATTGGCATGTTCCTGAACAGTTTTCTTTGAAGCTTTTTGTGCATGGGATCACTGAAAGGAGCAGAACTGCAGCCTCTGTAATGGGAGTCTCAAGTCTTCACACATTTGGAGGAAATGGAGGAGAAAAAAATCACTTCTTATTATGAACTGTCTCTGTGTTCAACATAATCCTCCTAATTTGGAAGGATATTAATGTCTTAAGTAGGTGGACACAATGATCAGAAATGTTAATGACATGGGAAAGACTAATGTGGTTCTTCAGTATCAGACATGAAGATAGGGATGCTTTTTCCTGACGTCTCATTTTGTATTAATCATTCTATTGTGTGCTTAGTGTTTTTAATACCCATTCTGCTTGGGGATTAGTGTGAACTGGAATCAGCTTGACTGTAAGTCAGCAGGCAGGTCATCATGAGCATCTTGAAAAGGAGCAAGAACTGGGACTGTGCACAGGTCCTGGGGAAGCTGCTCCTGAGCACCTGTGTATGCATTTATGAAGTTGGCCCCATGCTCTCTAAAGGGCTATGTGATTCCTTGGGAGTGCAAGAGATGTTATGAGTCATTAATCCAGCAGTTCATGCCATCAGTTACCTGAATATCTCTTTTTTACACCAGAGCTGTGTCTTTTCCTCACCCTTGGCTACTACTTGTAGACATTTTACTAGTCTGACATTCAGCTGTCAAAATAAAGTGCCCTTTCTTGCTTCTTCTTTTCTGAGAGAGTTTCATCTGGGAACTGAAGAACTCTTAAACAAATGTATTTCCACCAGGATGAAGAATCTATTTTTGATAATCTTTTTCCTCATCAGGAAGACTCCTTAACTGAAAAGTAAATCTGATTTGTGATTTTAAAACATAAATTAATTCTCATAAATATCCTATTTTGCTAATGTTGTGTGCTTTTGTGTCTAGTGCTGACATCCTAGAGGCAGAAGTTGCCTTGTTACATTATACAGGCCAAATTCTTTCTTTTTTAGCTGTCATAACTCAGTGTTTCTCCAGAGACCATCTCCATTATCTCAGAGCATGAGAATCAAATGTGGATTGAGGTGAAAATATTCTGTGAAATTTTTGTAACTAAATGTGTGTGAACTGTGTGTTGCAGAGATGTCCTTGCACTGCCGATCTTCAAGCAGGAAGAACCGCAGCTGTCTCCTGAGAACGATGCCAAGCTGCCCCCCTTTCAGTATGTCCTCTGCACAGCCACGTCACCTGCTGTGAAGCTGCACGAAGAAACCCTGACCTACCTCAACCAAGGTAGGGTTTGTACCACACTGAAGGAGAGTGTGTTTCCTGGGATCAATTATGAGAGAGAGATTGAATCCCACACTTGTGCCTTACAGGGAGGGCAGTGGGATGGGAAAAGGAGGG